ATTTGGGATTAGGTGGATTCTAAAATTCTTCCCCTGACAGCAGTGAAGGAAAAGGTATTGACAATCCAAAGAAGAACAGACATATCAAGGGTGAAACATAGGAGGAGAGCAAAACTTCCTGGAGCTCTCTTATTTGAGCAAATCCACACAGTCACAATGACCAAGGGAAGGACGAGAGGTGGCAAAGACAGTGTTTTTTTTTTTTTTTTAAGATTTTATTTATTCATCTGAGAGAGACAATGAGATAGAGAGAGCATGAGAGGGGGGAGTGGGAGAGGGAGAAGCAGACTCCCCGCCAAGCAGGGAGCCCAACGCCGGACTCGATCCCTGGACTCCAGGATCATGACCTGAGCCGAAGGCAGCCGCCCAACCAACTGAGCCACCCAGGCGCCCCGGCAAAGACAGTGTTTTAAGGCCGGGGGCGGGGGGGGGGGGGGCGGGTAGGGGTGGGGCTGCAGGGGGGCGGTGGGGAATGCAGACACAGGCTGAGAATTCTTTTGGATGATTGCCTTCACTCAGGATCGCCACCTCGTATACTGGTCATGGTTCTTTGCTGAGGGCAACAGCGCCACCTGTGGCTGACTTGGGCAGCAAACGAATGACTTAGAAATCAGGACAGGGCGCAGAATTGCTGCTGAAGCTGTGGAACCAGGCTTGTGAAATGGGCCAGAGCCAGAGGACCAGAAAGACAGTCCAGGTCACCCTGCCTGAGCCATAGGTTAGGATGGCACTTCTGACCCTGCTGTTCCAGGCGCTCGGGACTCCTCTGATGGAGCCTCTGTACCTGCTCCTCCTCTGGACTCTGACATGGCTCCAGGGTGCTTTCTTGGCTGTCCATACATCTAGTTACCCTTACACGATCAAAGTCGCAGGTTCAAGGAACTGGCTGAGGGAGGCTGGTCGCTGCCAGAACCCTCACTGCTGGGGGCAGGAAGAGGGATGATCTGCCTCCTTTACTCCTGAAGGAGTGTGGAATCCGCCTTCTACGAAGACTCGCCCTGGGGAATCAGCCACACGGGGCATGGGTTTGAATGACTGTAGATAACAAAAACGGAAAACAATTTCAGATTAGTATGAAGACAGGAACAGTCTCCCCCCCCAGAATTGTCTTAGTTTCGTGGAGAGTGGTAAAGTAGGCTGGGACTTCAGGGCTGATTCTAACTACCGTACCACATTGTTCTCAGCTATAGCAGTTTTTATCTGAGTTCTACTTAAGAAAATGTTTAGTAAGCAATATATAATTTATTCCATTACGTGGGTTCTGTCCTCTGAACTACTGTTATTGTCTTTATATAAAGTCCCGAATTAACAGAATTCCTACACATATTTTAGAAGTCACTGAACAGAATGACATTATTAACAATTGCAATCAAGCCATGTACGTCAAAGTAAAAAAAAAAAAAATCAGATTAACAGCAGATATTACAGGATAGTTCATGAAGAGAATATATTTTATATTCTTTTATGCCCCAGGAGATTCTACTTTAAGAAATGTTACTACATTCTTTTATAAATAATCCTTTTTCCTTATCCCCTTATATTCAGTGATTTGTTATTATTTAAAAAAAAATTTAAAGGTTTTATTTATTTGACAGAGAGAGAGTGTGCACTTGAGCGCACAAGCTGGAGGGGGTGGGCAGAGGGAGAGGGAGAAGCAGACTTCCCACTGAGCAGGGAGCCTGACCCCACTGGGGCTCCATAGATCCTAGGACCCTGAGACCATGACCTGATCCTAGGACCCTGAGATCATGACCTGAGCCAGAGGCAGATGCTTAACTGACTGTCCCATATTCAGTGATTTTTTAAAATTAAACTTATTTTTTTTGCATTGAGATATTAAATCATATTTAGACCCCCAAGTTATACAGGAATTTACCCATGTTTTGTATTAGAAAATGTAAGGTTTCATATTTTACATTTAGAGCTCTATCCATTTGCAGTTTATGTGTGGTGTGAAGCATAGATCTAAAATTTGATCTTTTTCCAAATACTTATCCAGATGTCTCCATATGTTTTAAAAGTTCCGTACTTACCCCAGTAATTTGAGGCACCATTTTCACAGTGATTTTTTTTTTTTTTAAGTTCAATTCAACTAATACATATTGAGTACCTACTGTGGTTTGGACACTGCATTTAGAAAGTACAAAGAGGATAAAGACTTGGCCTCTGCCCTTGAATTTGAGTGCTGGATTCAGATTTCTAAAAGTAGAGCCATTTTCCAGAGACAACAGACTACTATCAGACTTTATTAGTAACTTTTCATTAAAAGGCAAGATCTCTCATCTTTCTCAAGAGACCATCTGATTTTAATCACACTTTTCACTTTGGAAAAATGAGAAATTTGTGGTGGCTGAAGTGCAGTTGTTACTCCAAAACACTGTTCCTTTAAGACAAAGACAGTCTTTACTTTCAAAACTCATCTGAAATTTGAGAACTGAGAGGCACTCATTTTCTTGTTTAGCTCATGCCCCAAACCACAGGAGCAAGGGAAGCGGAACACATGATTACTTGTCTGGTAACTGCTATTTTGATTTATCTCACCTCTTGAGCAAATCTGACTCCTCTGTCCAGCCATCCATGGATCTCTCTTCCTCCTTATATTTAATTGCCTTTTTATTAGAAACTTCTTTTCTAATGGTTTACTGAACAGAGATTAGAAATTTGAAACGAGATATTTTCTGTGTAAGGAATTACTTTGGTATGTGAACTAATAAGAACTAGTGATATGTTCTAGGGATGAGAACACTTTTTCTGTTAAATACTCTGTGTTTCCTCTTCTACAGAGATCACAAAGTATACAAATATTTGTGGTGTGCCTTTCAAATACTGGTGTAATGGTGTGTTACAGGATGATGTATGCTGGGCACTGGTTTCAACGTCTCAATTAATTTGTGTATGGTATTTTCTTCTATTTTCACCCTGGTATTTCCCTTCTAGTTGCATTATTACACCTATGTTATATACCACAGACACAAAATCTCAGAATTGGTAGGGAGCTTAGCATTCCTTTGATTTATCATCTATGGCTTGCATCCACTGGCACTCAAATTCTAGCTTAAAATATTGTATTAGAATGGATAGATCAGAGTGAGTTCTGGGAAGGTAAATCTATGGAACCTGCATAGTTCCTGACTTGTATCATAGAATGGTGGTGGTAAAGAAGGTAGAGTTCAGACATGTGCTGTACTGGAAAAAGAAGAAATGGAAGAAAAAGTGGCCCATTTGTAGGGATATAACTTATCATCCAAGCCAGAACACTTTTGAGGGTGAAAGGGGCACTATTAATAATTATACTAGAACAATAGACATAAGCTGGGACTGTTCTTGGTAAACCAAAATAGATCTACAGTAATTTAAGAGGAGAAAAAGCAAGCATAGCTATTGTTCATTAAGAACGAAGGGATAGTAGAAGGGCCTGACAACTTCGTTTTTGGGACTGCACAGATACTTTTCTTCCTAGTATAATTGTGATCCTGAAACTTAAGTCTAGGTTTGTAGTTATGGGGCAAAACAATCTGACTCCAAATAGGGCCCTGAAGATAAAGACTTGTGTGTCCTATAGCCTTTGGGTCTTCTCTTTGACATTTTGGGGTCTCCAGGGCTTGTGAAGACACTGAAAACCAATTCCATGGGTCTACAAAGGGAGATTATGGGATCAGAAATGCTTTCTCGGCAGCTACACAGTCTCTTCAATTTTCTCTGATACCAAGAAAATCAGAAATCTCAGATTGACGCTGAACGTGGCAAAATCCCATGACACAACTTCCCTACCAATTTAGGGTTATCTGCCTGGAACCACGTCAACCGGCAACGTAGGGTAATTGATGAAGCTGAAAGCTAAATACCTAGAGTGCTTACCTTGACCATATACCAGTGGTTACCTTGACAGCTAACGTTTGCCAAGTGTGTAATGCATTCAGCTCATATTTACTGAGGGCCTATTAGCCTGTATTCCATTTAATCACATGTTCCCCACATACTTATCCAGATGCCTCCGTATGTTTTAAAAGTTCCATACTTACCCCAGTAATTTGAGGCACCATTTCCACAGTGATTTTTTTCTTTTTTTAAGTTCAATTCAACTAATACATAATGAGTACCTACTGTGGTTTGGACACTGCATTTAGGAAGTACAAAGAGGATAAAGACTTGGCCTCTGCCCTTGAATTTGAGTGCTGGATTCAGATTTCTAAAAGTAGAGCCATTTTCCAGAGACAACAGACTACTATCAGACTTTATTAGTAACTCTGTGGCTGCTCTTGTTTCATCGTACACAAAAGGAAACTCAGGCTCAGAAAACTAAGTGACTCAACCAGGGCCACGCCTGAACTGGGACCTAGTTAGGGGCTGCGAGCTGGGTATTTTTTCTTGCTTTGCCACAGACCGCACGTGGTAGATGCGCTCTCAGACGGTGAGTTCCCTAGGCGGCCTTGGACATCCCCTGCGTTAACGTGCTGCAGCGGATGAGGCCGGAAGAGAAGCAGGGAACTGAGTACACTTGAAGGCCCCACCCCAACAAGGTCACAACCAGAAAAGGCTCGCTCGGCTACTCCACAACACTACTGCGGCTGCGTAGGCGACCTGTGGCCCTCACTCAAGATGGCGGCTCCGGCGTCAGCGGCCTTCTGCCCTTCCCCATCATGGCGGCGGCCGGACCCGCCTCCCTGGGCGCGGGAATCATGTGACCCACACAATGGCCGAGCGCCTACTCCAGGCTTCCCGGCAACGCCGAGTGAAAGCCATGACGGCCGCCGCAGGTTCGGCGGGCCGCACCGCGGTGCCCCTACTGCTGTGCGCGCTGCTGGTGCCCGGCGGCGCGTACGTGCTGGACGACTCCGACGGGCTGGGCCGGGAGTTCGATGGCATCGGCGCGGTCAGCGGCGGCGGGGTGAGCAGCAGGCGGTAGGATGCGCGGGCGTGGCCAGGGGGGCGCCCCACAAGCCCCCGCGACGCAGCCCCGCGTGTCGACCCCCGCCGGTCCCGACTCCGCTCGCGGCGGGCGCTTCTGGGCGGGGGGGTCTGTGCTCCTACAGGGTTGGAAGCGGCTCTTGCTCGTTTAGATGAACATACAGAGGCCATTAGTTTTAAAAGAGGAGGATGCGGAGGTCCACCGAATACGTGACAGGTGTAGATAGTGACAAGGCTGGGGCTCGTACTCTCATCCCGGGCGACGGAGCCTGGGCTCGCTTTGCCGCAGGGAGGGCATTCCTGAGGGTCGTTCCAGAAATGGTCAGGGAGCCGGGGAGCATCTCTCCTCCCAAGGGGCTGCCCCACTGAGGGTCGGGGAGTCGGAAGCCCTGGACCACAGTGTAGGGTGCGATTGGCTAACTTCAGAGGGGCCAGCGCGCAATACGTTTTGTTTGGAGGCGCGACAGGTGCCTCAAGGCCTCCGTAGGAAGGTAAGAGGTCAGGCTGGGTCTGTTTTTGTTTTTTTTTTAGTTGTTGTTTGTTTTTAATGGCAGGCTATGCTAGTATTAACTGGTAGTCTAGGTTGTTTACTGTTGGGGGGCTGTGTTTCTTGGGAGTCATCAAGGCCCAAGGTGGGGTGAGTTGCCCACCGGAAAGGTCAGTGCCTCTGTGACTCTTTGGTGGCTCTTTTTGTGTACAGGGAGGGGGAAACATCGGATCAACATCCAAGGTGGTTCGCCACCTTTAGGGTGTGTAAGAATCACCTGGTATGCTTGTTTAAATGCACTGCCCATTCTGACTGTAGTTCTGGATTGGGGCCTGAGAATCTGCATTTTACCAAGTACACCAATTGATTCTCATACTGAGTAGTGAGAGACCTTTTTCTTTTAAGTAAACTTAATTTTAGAATAGTTTTAGATATACAGAAGAGTTTCCAAGAGAATACAGAGCTCTCATACACCCTGCACCCATTTTTCTGTTATCAGCATCCTGCATTGGTATGGTACATTTGTCACGATCAGTATTGATAACTTATGAAAATCTGTACTTCATATTTCCTTAGTAGTTACCTAATGCCTATTTTCTGTTCCAGGATCCCATCCAGAATACTAACTGCATTTAACTGGCATGCCTTAGTCCTCTCTTGGCTGTGACAGTTGGGATGAATGAGTTCATTTTCCTGGACATTCCTTAAGATTTACGTGAAGGGAGACAGGAGGGCCATTCCAGCTTTGTGTAAAATTGTATGGGCACAGCTGGTAATTGTCTGAATTTCCTGGTCATGCTGTCATGTGGCCTCTAGGCCTGGGAGCTTGGTTTAGTAGCATGATTCTTTTTGGCTCTAACAAAATTTACTTGCTTCTATCACATGCCCTCCGTAACCTTTTTCCTGTCTTTGTGTTATTCCCTTCCATTTTACCCCAAATCAACTAGAGTTAATTTTATTTGATGTTAAGGCCTAACTCTTAAATGGGTTGTTTGTTGGGTTGAGTCAGATGGAGCTTGTATATTCAGATGCATTTCAGAACTAGCTCCACTGCTTGCTTGCTGAATGGATGTTTTGTGCTGATCTCAGCCTACTGATAGCTGGTGTTGTGGCTGGACTGGCCCTTATGGTTCTTATTATGATTGTAAGATGTTCTCAGCAATAACGATCAAGAAACTTAAAAAAAAAAGGTTTATTATTCACAGATCCTGGCAAGCACATGGCACACTTGGGACCACACAGTAAGGTTGTGGGGGGCCGGGGGGAGGAGAGGGGAAGAGAGAGAGAGAGAGAGCACTGGAACTTGAGTGTTCTGCCCTGCTTTTATTGCGGGCTCACTCATTGGTGAATTCGAAACTTAAGAGGGGGAGTTTAAAGTGCAGGAAGAGAAAAATCAAGCAGCCTCTGTGGTCAGTTACTGAAATCAACCAAGGTCTTTAAAACAAAGAAGGCTGGGGTCCCAGCTGGGGGAGCCTGGCACTTTATCTAGATCGGCAGTGTGATTCTTTGAAACAGCCATCTTTGAAGTGGATGCCTCTTTGAAGAGGATACCCTCAGGCACTTGCATTACAAAAAAGAAAAAAAACTGTCAGGGTTTATACTACAGTCCACCTTGATGCAGAGGCATTAGTCAGTGGTGACCCTGGATACCTGATAGGTTAAAAGTCAGGGATAGGGCATGTTGTAACCCAGAAAGTACACATCTAAGTAGGACTATATAGCACTTCTATAATAATTATACAGACAGTAGTCTGCAATCTAGTCCGTAGCCATTGTCCCAAGCTTAAAGGGACATGAAACCAGGTCAGTGATCCTAGGACTCAGGAATGTGTTCAAAGATTTGGGTAATATTGTGAAATAATTAAACATCTTTGGCCATCTCGTGAAGTAGGTCTGATCAAATAGGCTTTTCTTTCTTTCTTTTTTTTTTTTTTTTTTAAAGATTTTATTTATTTATTTGACAGAGAGAGAAATAGTGAGAGAGGGAACACAAGCAGAGGGAGTGGGAGAGGGAGAAGCAGGCTTCCTGCGGAGCAGGGAACCCGATGCGGGGCTCCATCACAGGACCCTGGATCATGACCTGAGCTGAAGGTAGACGCTTAACGAATGAGCCACCCAGGCTTTTCTAAGTGTGCTTTGCTGGATTTTTTTTCATAAGGAATCTCAGATTGGACTCTAAAAGTCTCTCAGGGCTGGGCAGTCAAGCCAAGGACTTGCCTTCATACTTCACCTATAATACCTGTAGATTTGAGTGAATGCCTCTCTTCTCAAGGTCCCCCAAATATCCTGATATTTTTGGGCCTCACAATAAGTGGTCTCCATTATTCACCTGGTAAGGCTGCTGGGAACACTTAAAGGCTTAAAAATAGCCACGTTAAATACCTATGGGAGTTCATTACAATGCAGTTGGCAAGGAACTTTGGTTATTTCTGTGACCTATAACATTCTACGATAATAACTAGAATTATAAGTGACAGCATCATATCAGGACATAGCAGATGTCTAGGAATTTCATATGATTTCTGGAACATTTATATCAGTCACACATATCCATACAAATTTAATCTAAAGAGGGTTTCTCATTACTTATTTGATAATGCTTTCCATGTAGTTTAACATATCAAATAAGCCTAATTAGTTTAACATCTCTTTTAATAAGGAGAAGGAACAAATCATTTGAGATGTTCCAGGGACCCCATGGAAAATCCCAAAGTTAGTTCAAGGTTTAAAAAGGCTTCATTTAGGGGCGCCTGGGTGGCTCAGTCGTTAAGTGTCTGCCTTGGGCTCAGGTCATGATCCCAGGGTCCTGGGATCGAGCCCCCACATTGGGCTCCTTGCTCAGCGAGGAGTCTGCTTCTCCCTCTCCCTCTGCCTGCTGTTCTGCCTACCTGTGCTCTCTCTCTGTGTCAAATAAATAAATAAAATCTTTAAAAAAAAAGAAAAAGGCTTCATTTAGAATTTGATTCTGGGAAATTTGTCAGAAATATCAAAAGATTTTGAAACCCTTGATTACACTGGATCATAGATTGCTCTGAAATACTAGTTATCCATTTAAAAAACTTTCACCAAAATTATAGCTAAAGACTTCATAGGCAAATACAGAAAGCTACATAGTTTATTAAAAAAAAAAAAAGAACTTTAGCTCTTTAAATAGAGAGGACTTGTTTTCTTAAGTAATCAAAGACATGATAAAAGACAACTTGAGATACTGGAAATTATTTTGGTAAAATACAGAATCTTTATTTCCTAGGCAGATTACTTAAAAGGTAAATAAAAACCTTGCACAGTCTTATCAAGAACAGACCAGTAATCCAAGAAAACTATCCTTTTAGCAGATAAAATAAAATTAAGCTTTAGTTTTCAGAAGTACACTATTTATTTAAAAAATACAATAAATTACTTCATTTTTAGCCAGCTTGTCTACACAAGATAAAATTCTCCCTCTCTTTTTTTCTTTCTTTCTCCTACTTTCTATATCCATTTAGTTTGTCTACTTTAGGACAAAATTACTTTCATTTGCCTTAACAAAATGCATATCCATACCTTATACCATAGCTAAACTATATCCTATTTCCCTTGCCTAAGTTGTTTCTCTTATTTCTTGTACTTTTAATTACATATATTGTTAGAATTCTTAACTCTTAGAAAGCTTAATTTCTAGTGAAAACTAGTGAGTAAGCAGTTGTGAGCTCTTTACTAGCATTCTGTATATTGACAAATTTATGAATACATTTCATAATTTCTAGAGGCATATGCCTCTTTAAATTCATTAATTAATTTTTATTATGTGATGTTAATCACCATAATTACATCATTAGCTTTTGATGTAGTGTTCCATGATTAATTGTTTGTGTATAACACCTAGTGCTCCATGCAATACGTGCATAGTAAGTTTTTCAGTATAGCACAGGACATGTTTACCAACAGATCCAGACATCTAGCTTCTCTGTTACAGGAAACCAAAAGTAGATAAACCTGTGGTTCAGTAATGTTTCAATATTTAATGTTTAGCAATGATCTATATATTTAATGAATTTCCATCATTGAACTTGGCAAAACTCTAAGGTTTCAAGTTACCAAAAAGATTTGGGTAACGTTTTAAGTACACATACCATAAAACATAATTGTTGTTGAAGAGTGGATGCCTTGGCAATCAAAGCTTAAGTCAGACATTTGCATTACAAAAAGAAAAAACCCAATCATTGTGGCTTACACTAGAATGGATGACCTGGTCTTTAGCTGATCTCTCCAACTTTGTGTGTGTGTGTGTGGGGTGGGGGGTAGGGGGGTGTTGGAGTGGGACAGACAAACCTTTTCCTTAACCCAACTTATTCTTCTTGATTTTTGTGTTTTTATTTTCTGATGTTGCAACCTTCCTCATAGGTGCTGGAGCATATTTCAGAGTCACCTGGACTAATGGGTCAATGTGTGTGTTTTTTACTACAGTCATTCTTCTTTTCATTTTTGTGGTTTAAACCTACAATAGCCAGTATTTCATGAAATGAGGACCCATCTGTCCTAGTATCTTTACTTGTGGCATTAAATCCAGTATTTGAACTTACTGAAAAATGGAAGTCTTCGTTATTTATATTTATTAACTCAGTTTAAGAGTATTAAAATGAGAATATTGCAATACTCAGAGTAGGATACTCTTATCTATATGATAGTGTCCCTGTGTATAGTGCGTGTCTCATCTTAGAAGCTTAATATTAATCGAAGGAAAATGGTTGCAACACTACCTTTGCCCATCACTTTAGATTTCTATGTGGAGTCCCTGGTACGTGGCACAGTTTATAGCAGTTCTCACTTGGTCTTCCAGTCTGATAGGGAAGGCAGTATGGGGCAGTAGTTAAGAATGTGCGTTTAAGAGCAGATTGTCAGGGGTCCATTCTGGGCCCTGTCATTCACTGTCCAGCCACGGACAGGTTACTTAACCTCCCAGTGTCTCAGTTTCCTTTCTGGGGAGACCTTGAAACCTGGTGGGAGCATCATGAGGATAGATGTAAAGTGCTCAGGGTGGCATCTGGCACATGATTATTTTGGTTAATATCATCCTGTTTCATTGATTAGGAAGGAGGAAGTTGCATGAAAAATGTATTTGGGTATAAAATATCTGCCATTTATTGGTAACTTACTGTGTGTCTCCTCTTGTGCTAAGGCTTCTTCCTGGGCTGGTTGGAAACAGCCCCAGGCCTTTTCCAGGGAATGTGACTGCAATTTGTTATTCCTTGATGGTGCATTTCAACATTTGGCTATACTACTCTGAACTATTGCCATTGACTAATGCTTTTGTACTGAGAATGACATAGGCTTGCAATAGCATGGTGATGTGGTGTGTTTGCTTAAAGTTGGCACTTTCTGTGTTAAGGATAGGATTGCATAGACGCAAAATAACCCGCAAACAGCCAAACGCACTGTTCTAATGACATAATTCAGGGTCAGAAGAATTGTTCCCCTTTGATCAAGGATGGGTTATTGTGTATATGCAGGGTTCATTCACTTAAGGAGTGCCTACTTTAATATTTGAGCCTCCGCCAGTCTGTAAGCTCTTTGAAAACAGTGACTGTGTTTTTAAAAACAATTTGTATAATGCCTGTCATTTATTGAGAGCTTACTGTGTGCCAGCTCCTGCACTATGTCCTTTACATACATCTTATTTCAGCCTTAGAACAGCTGAAGGAGTTCTAAGGAGTAAGATGGCCTGCTTTACAGCAGATTGTCCTTGGTCACATAGCTTGTAAATGTTGCAATCGGGATGTAGGCTCCTTCTGACTCAAAGCGTCCTGTATTATGTTGCCTTTGCCGGTGGAACAAACAATACCATAAAAGATATTAAATGTTTACTAAATAAGAGAATAAATGGGGACATGAACTTGAGTAAGACATAGTCCCTGTCCTCAAGGAACTCAGAGGTGAGTCAGAGAAGTATGGCAATGAGGAGGGTGCAGGGTTAGAAGAGTTACAGTAGAGATGTAGACCTGAAGCCAGAGGAGTCCACAGGACTACATCAAACTACTACTACCTACATCAAACCAGTGGGCGGAGAGGAAGAGGTTCTTCCCTGAAGAGGATGCATTGAAGTTGGCCAAATGAGGGTGTGGAATGCATTCCAGACAGAAGAAAGAGAAAAAGTAGTTAGATATATCAAGATAGAAGGCGCGAGAGTGGTACTGGGTAAAGTGTCAGAGTTAGGATCCAAATAGTTAAAGAGATTTGGGTATAAAACTGAGCAATTTGAACTTTATCCTGAAAGCTCTTGGCAGAGGGGAGGTCTTGGCAGGTTTAAACAGAGTACTTTCGTGGTTGTGTTTTGGGAAGATTAATGTGGCAAGTAGTGTGGAGAATAGAATATAGGGAGGCAGACGGGAGGCCCTGAGACCATTTAGGCTATTCTAACGATTGAGGGGGGCCTGGATGAAGGAGGTAGGGTTGAAGTGAGGGGATGGATTTGAGAGATACTAAGGAGGTCTTGGTGACTAAAGATGGATGGGAATTGGTGAAGGGGTAACCCTAAATTTATGGTTTAGGCAGATGTTGTCCTTTACTAAGATAAGTAAAGGAGAAAGAACAGACTTAGGAAAAAGTGCCACGTTTGATTGGTGATGTGTTGAACTTGAAGGGATGAGAGGGTAGCTCCGTGGGTCTGTGTCTCAGTGGCAGGGGCTGGGAAGATTGTGGGTGTGAGGGAGATAGATATAAGGGTGCCACTAGAACGTCAGTGGAAGCATAAATGAGAGTATGAAACGGAACACTGAGCCCCATAAAAGTCAAGTATCTTGCCCTTGGTGTCAGTTTTTTGAACCTAAGGCCTGTCTGGCTTCCAAGCCTAGGGGCATGCCACTGTTTCATGTTAAAACCTATTTCTTTTATTCCCCTTGTGTATATTGCTCCCCAGAAGATACATTATTGGTCCACCGTTGGTTTTGTGATTTCTTTGTTGAAGCAGTCATCGGCCATGGGTTAGTTGTGATCAAGTGTTGGTCTCTGCACCCTCCACCTCTCTCTTTCCATGCATTCTGATGCCAGTCTTGTGTGAGGTTTCCTTAGTACAGTTTGGCCTGGGGATCATTGTATGGTCATTCCTAATAGTAACAGCACTTATAAATCTCTAGTAAAGAAGGGGGGGAGTAGTGATTCCTTTCAGCATTGCTGCTTGTAATAATTTCTTGCAAGATGTTGAAGGAGAAAATTACCTGATATTATCCTTTCCATCCTGGCCCCCCAATGTTGTAGTTGACAAATGGTCTTAAGATAGAGAACATAAGTTTCATTTCTTCTAATAACTACTTTCTGAGTTAAGGTCCCCAAGACAAGTCTGTAATCATGGTGTTCATCAATAGACTTTGTTAGCTTACCTCCCAGCCAACCCTCATCTCAGTGGAAGAGAAAACTGCTGTGGCTTAAAACTTGAGTTTTAGCTATTGGATAAACAACAGCCCTATTTGCCCAAAGATGGCTAAAATATAGGCAGGTAAACAAATAACCTGGGAAATGACTTTTCCACATGGGCCTGCCGGGTGGCGTGCATCAGCACTATGAAAACATGTTCGTGATTGGATTTGATTTATTCATACTTTTGAACTTTTTTTTTTTAGGCAACCTCCCGACTTCTAGTAAATTATCCAGAGCCCTATCGTTCTCAAATATTGGATTATCTCTTTAAGGTAATGAGAAAATAATTACTTAATGGCATCTGTGGTATTTTTGAAGCTATGGTGAATTTTAGCGGTAGAATTGATCGCCTTCACAATTTTAGCTTTAAAAAAGAATGGCAAATTGCTTTTGGAATAAGTTGCTATTTATTTGAAATTGGTTTTCTCATCTGTAATTGTCTTAATGTGCTTTGCCCTTCATGCAGTGAATCACGGTGTTAATACTCCTACTTCCTTCCCCAGCCAAACTTCGGTGCCTCTTTGCATATTCTAAAAGTCGAAATAGGTGGTGATGGGCAGACAACAGGTAGGAGATTTGGGAAATGGGATTGATTTCCTTCAACGTTTTAGTCTATACTTAAACTTAGGGGCTGTAAATCAGAATATAAATGATACGAACATTTTTGATGTTGATTATTGCTTATAGATTATTTCTTATTGTTCCTTTTTTATTCTATTAAAAATATATCAAAATACTCATTTTTTCTCATAAAAATAGCATTTGGACTTTAGGTTGCTTATATAGTTGGATTAATCAGTAGTAAACAAACCCACAGTTTTTAAAAAAACTATATTCACTGGGAGGATAGAGACAGTTTGAAATTTTTATTGAGGAGTTCAAAAAATAAAACTCTTAATGTGGAAAACATGTAAAATGTTATAATGTTAATAGCTGTAAATAAAATCATGTGGCAAACATATAAGTCATCAATATTTTAGAGGTACAGCTTTTTTCTCTTTTAAAAACAAAATTATTTTTAACCATTAAATTTTCAATCTTCATTATCACCCTTTTGATTGGCTTTGTGTAGTCCATGTAGTCAGTTAATGTACAGGAAGAAGGAAATTCTTTCAGTGATAATGCAGCTTATTACCAACAGGCCAGATTCCATCATAGTGAACTTTATAGTATTGTCTGTATACGCGTGTTCCTGTTGGTGACTTGGGAGTAATTTTTGTTAAAGAGATATGTCTGGGGCGCCTGGGTGGCTCAGTTGGTTAAGCGACTGCCTTCGGCTCAGGTCATGATCCTGGAGTCCCAGGATCGAGTCCCGCATCGGGCTCCCTGCTCGGCGGGGAGTCTGCTTCTCCCTCTGACCCTCCTCCCTCTCATGCTCTCTGTCTCTCATTCTCTCTCTCTCAAATAAATAAATAAAATCTTTAAAAAAAAAAAAAAAAGATATGTCTGTGTGGTCATATTAGTGTTTAATTAATATTGAAAGAAAAAAGAATGAAAATCAAAAACAAAAGAAACCTCTGTAACACAGACTTCCTCCAAGCTACCATAATAGGACATGTATTTTATTGTCCACTCCTCTTATGCAGGATTGGTAATGGTTGGCCATCTACATTTGCTGAAGTGAAATTAGAGGTAGAGATACGGGAGTGGGTAGTTCTTGTGAATCTGATGTTTAAGAAGAAAAGGGCAAGACCCCTCTCCTTGTGAGGCCCTTCTTAACATGGGCAGATGTTTGTGAAATGTGGTAACATATGAGGACTGATATCAGCTACCTACCTTGTCACACCATGGAGGTTAGGATAGAATTTTCTTATAGAGCGGTATGCAGATGATGTATACTCTTTCCTTTTTTCTCTCAAAGCACTGTTGTCTTGGTGTAACAGGGCATGTTATAGGCTCAAGGCCTGGGGTATGAGAATGGGGCTTAGGAGCCCGGAGATTCACATCTAGGATTGAGAAGCCAGAAGTTGAGGTGATCTGAACTCATGTGTTGAATGTGGGGATTTGAAAACCCCAGAAAGACCAGACCAAAGCCTGGGAGAATGTAGTCCTAGGACTTTTCAATTACGTGAATTGATAACACTTCTCTCAACGCTGCTTATAATAGAAAGATGTGGTTTTGTTTTTCAAGACCTTTATGATACTTAGAGTAATGAAAAAACCTGAAATAATACACTTTGATCTTCCATCCTCAAGTTTTATAAGATCATTCTTATTTGTCCCACATCAGGATTGGAACCAGAAAATGTCTCCTCTGAAATGTGTGTATGTATAGGGGAGAGTGGCCCTATGAAACACCATTAAACACCATGAAGTGCTTTCCTTTCTCTTTTGCTCTCTCCCATGCAGATGGTACCGAGCCCTCCCACATGCACTATGCGTTAGATGAGAATTATTTCCGAGGATATGAGTGGTGGTTAATGAAGGAAGCTAAGAAGCGGAACCCTAATATTATACTCATGGGTAAGAAGTGAAGTTTGCCATGCTTTTGCAGTCTGTTTAACTTTCAAATTCTGAATTCTGTATGTGGAGTCACTATTATCCTACTAGCAGCAAAGCATGTGCCAGGCTTGATTCTTTCTTTGCCCTTAGATATTATTTCTGCTCTTTATATGTAATACTTCTGGAGTGAGGCATTACTCTTCCCATTTTACAGAAGCAGTAGAGACTTAGGTTATGCCACTGACTTAAGGCCAGGTAATTAGTAAATGGTAAAATCAGGTATAGAACCTAATTCCATTCTGGTTGTTTTTGTGATTGCTAAACTCTTATCTTCAACAAAATTTCTTACCAAAATTTGTAAAAGGGCAATACTCTCTAGAAAATTATATATTAGGTGCAGTAGTATATACCAACTATTTGTAAAATTATGCATTACATGCAGTAGTAGACGCCATTTCTAAAAGAGGTACACATAAAAGTTTGTTTTGAACCTCAGCAACGTGGTGGTCACTGTTCTAGGCATTGGAGATACCGAGCAATCCAGCCCCCGCTTCCCACCCCTGTGGAGCTTACGTTCTAGTAGCAGGATCATTGGATTTCTCAAATAGGACTACTGTGTTCATTTTACAGTTCTCATATAGCGATGCAGAGACCTGTAAGATATTGCAAACATACCCAGTGATGGCAGTCATCATTTGAGATGAATTTGATATTTTGAAACAGGCTTCCACATCCAGTCTGTGTGAGACCAGTGAGATCCATTTTATAGGCTTGATTTCAGGTTATTTTAAAAATCATTGTCAACAATCAAATTAAAGGACAAGCGTAAGTTTTTCTAAATTAAAAAAATGAGGAGTTAGCGTGTTCTTTCAAAATGGTCTTTTGCAAGAGATTCCAGAAATGTTTGGAGCAGTAAAAAAAAAAAAGCATCATTGACTTCAGCGCATACTCACCCATTGGGCTGCTTTCATGGTCAGTTCTCATTTAAATGTAGAAAATCTGGCACGCTGAACCATGTTCTAACAAAGACTTACACATGCTGGGCCTTTAGAATGTATTTGGCATTTCATTGTTCTAAAATGTTCCAGTATTTTAATGTCACATTTCTTATGGGATACACAATGAGGCATTCCTCCTGAGCTTAGAAAAATAAACATTTTGTTCTTTTGTTCATTTTGATTTTTTTCAGTGGTGAACTAGATTGGTGATATATATTAACAGTTGAGGAACTTAACTGTTGAGCTTATTTTGATATATTAATAACAGAATTAGGATTTAGAATTGTAATTAGTGCTTCTCTACTATTCTCATTTTCTTACTTGAAAACAGTAATTAAGGTGCTGGCAGGATGTGGGTTATTTGATCTAAATCATACCACAAAGAAATATTTTCCTCTTGAGTCATTGGCATTTATACTGATATGATGACAAACTAGTTTTGCTGAATTTGATTATCTGACTAATTAGTATTTTAAGGAACCTTAAGTTTTAAGAAGTTGTACTAGTGAATGAGGAATTTGTATTATACTTAACCTGTAGGAATGATTAGGCATAAGCCTTTCAGAATTCTTTGATTTGACTTCAGAGGAAAGAAAGTGAGTATTAAATATCCCTATAGCAGGTGGTGGGCACGTTAAATTAAATTGTATGTTACATTTCTTTCTGTTGGTTAGGATCTTTGAAAGAGTGTTTTTATTTCTTTTTCTTGAAAGAGCATTTGGAATTATGGAAGCTGATTCTAGGGATCAGTAAGTAGTTGCTGAGTTCATAAACTGCAAGGGATTTTGAGAAATTGTGCACAGTATATAATCTTTGGGAAGATCTGTATTGGCTTTTTGCTTAGCCTGTGTTCTTCTTGGTTTCTTTTGCCTTGTTTCTAACAGTGCCAGCATGGGTATACCCACTCCACCTTTACCTTTTCCTTTCTGCAGGCTTGCCGTGGTCGTTCCCTGGATGGCTGGGAAAAGGTTTCAACTGGCCTTATGTCAATCTTCAGCTGACTGCCTATTATGTCATGACCTGGATTGTGGGCGCCAAGCATTATCATGATTTGGATATTGATTATATTGGGGTTAGTAATATATTTAAAACTTGATTAACTTTTGGACATTTATTTGTAATTTCTTAAAGTAATTTGATTCTGTGGCATTTTGTTGACTAACCATTTTGTGTCATGAGACTGATTTGTTCTATTGGCATCTGATAACAAATTAACTACACGTGACCTTTTATTCCTCCTCTTTGCCCATCCAAATTTTAACCCCTTTTGAAAACTAAGTGTATAATACCTTCTCTGAACGACCTTTTTTTTTCTTTTTTTTTTTAATTTTGATTTTGGTATCACCCAGCTCACATTCTCCTTCTTAAAAGCTTTCCCTAGTTTCTCTAGTCATGCAAGAATACTATATTTACCAGACAGTTTAATGATTAATCTCATTTTGCTCTATGAATCTTCTATTGTCCTAAACCATGGGTTGGCAAACTTTTTCTTAGTGTGTCAGAGAGTAAATATTTTAGGTTTTGAGGGTCAAAAGGCAGTATTAAGGATATAATGTAGGTAATTATATAGCCATTTAAAATGTAACCGTTTAAAACTGTAAAAACCATTTCTAGCTCTCAGGTTATAAAAAATACAAATGGTGGGTGGGCTGGATTTGGCAGGCTGGCTAAAATCTGCCTACCCTTATCTTAAACTGTTATTTAACACCTTTTAATGACTGAAAAAATGTAAAAATAATGTCTTTCCAGTTGGTCTGTTGGCAGGCCTAAGGCATCGTACCTCACAGAGCCTCACACATATACATGGTGGTCTCTGTACATGTTTGCTTATTAATATGCCATCTGTCAAAACTGATTTTAAAAGCATTCATGCAATTGGCAAGCAAGTATTGAGCTCCTACTATGTTGCTGGCACTGTGACTGTTATGTTCTAGGGATACCAAGATGAATAAGCCCTTAAGGAGGTTAGTGAGAGAGATAGAAACTGGGACAGATAAACTGTAATATCACAGGAGGAGAGAGGACATGAGGATGGGCCAAGGGCTGTAGGGAGCCAGAAGCAAGAATATACTTGTTTTTTGTTATCTTTCTCCAAATTATAATTGAAAATTAGTTTGTATTTGAGAACTTTCAAATGTCAGGGTATTTTTAACCTGTAGTGAAACTAAATGTAGGTTTGGATCTAAATAGCATTTTATTATGGTGAAGTCACACTTAGAAAATGTTTCTGGTAAAGAACGGGTAATTCGCATCTCTTTTAAACTCACAGGCTGTGGTGAGGAGCTTCTTTGATGAGAAGTACTTTCCTGTATCACAAGAGTAAAATGAATTATAGTGCCTAGACTCTAGGCCATCTCAGTTATTAACAGTTTTCTCAGCTGCAAAATAAATGTCATGGAAATTCTCTTTCAATTCTAAAACCTCATCCCCCCTGATTCTAAACCAATGAGAGCTGTGCATCTTCCTCTTATCTATCCTCATTAAGAATTTGCCTTTGTAATGTGGCACATCATGTGGGCTAAAAAAAATTACTTCTACAGTGTACTTATTAATACTTGGCTTTAGGTGTGCTGGTAAGATCTTGTAAGAATTATTACAACACTCCCCATGTCTGCTAGGTCTCCAGTGCCTAATAGAGTTCTGGCACACATTACATTGTCAATGTTTGTTGAATGATTGAATGGATATTCCAGTTTTAGAAATCCGTGGAATGGGGTGCCTGGGTGGCTCAGTCAGTTAAGTGTCTGACTCTTGATTTCAGCTCACGTCGTGATCTCAGGGTCCTGGGATTGAGTCCCATATCAGGCTCCATGCTCAGTGGGGAGTCTGCTTGATATTCTCTCCCTCCCCCTCCCCCTCTTCCTCTGCTTGCCCTCTCTTTCTCTAAAATAAATAAAAATAAAATTAAAAAAAAAAAAAGAAATCACTGGAATAAGTGACTAAAAATACCTGCCAAATATTCAAGGCTTTAAAAGATAATATTTTAATTTTAAAAAGTTATGTTGTCTTCTAAATAACTCTAAATTCAAGAACAGGACATTTCATAAAGTAAGAAACATTGCTTTTTAGATGATATGAAAGATGACGAGAACAGTGGAATCTTAATGGGAATGTCTACATTCTGACCTTTAACTTTCAATTCAGACTGTTTGACTTTCTGTTTTGCAGATTTGGAATGAGAGGTCATTTGACATCAATTATATCAAGGTCTGTATGACTTGAAAATCTTTTTATCTTAAAGTTATTAGTAAATGATTCCCTTATGGTTCCATGGAAATTAGTAGAACACTGTTTTTTACAGTACAGATATTTGTTTGCTAGTTGTGACATAAAATTCAAGCAAAAGCTTAATCATATTTAAATTCCTGATTAAAGCATAGGTAATTCCTTGTGAACCACAAATTTCCTTTGTCTGAAGACTTGTGTCGAATTTTCCTATTTTGAAATTCATTATTTGTGGAATTATGGTAATCATTATAAAAACAACTGCATCATGTTAGGCTTTTAGGACTTAAAGAAATGTAGCTTTTTTTTGTTTTTTTTCATTGTCAGATGAGAAAAGGAGGCAAACCTAAAAAAGAACAAAGATCTTTATTTGGGGTGTCATAATTGCAACTCAGGGAGCACAGATTCTGGAGTAACCAAAAAAGTATCCTGCTCTGGTGGGGAGGGCAAGGAGTTTTTATGGCAAAGAAGGAAGAGGTAATTCCATGAAGTAGATAAAGAAGAGAAAAGAAAACACTGCTAATTTGGGGCTGACCAAATTAGTTGAGCCATTTCTGATAACTCTCTCATTGATTATTTTATTGGTGCTATCACAAACAAAATTGTCCCTGGAATGTATTAATTACCTTTACTATCCTCATATGGTCTGAATGCCAGTTGTTCTGTTGGAATGTTATGAACAATTGCCTGTAAGACTCTTGCCACTTCTGGCCCAGGTCAAGAGTTCATCTGTTGGAAAGGAAAATGGAGCTTGGAAATGGAGTCTCTTCTGGCCAGAAATTTTATACAGTTCCACATCTTAAATCAAAATTTCTCATATATAGTCTCACTGTTATTTTCTTTGGAACGCCTATTACATTGGAATGTTCTATATGTTCCTTTTTTTTTTTAAATTTAATTTTATTATGTTATGTTAATCACCATACAATATTACATCATTAGTTTTTGATGTAGTGTTCCCTGATTCATTGTTTGCGTGTAACACCCAGTGCTCCATGCAGAACGTGCCCTCTTTAATACCCATCACCAGTCTAACCCATCCCCCCACCCCCCTCCCCTCTAGAACCCTCAGTTTGTTTCTCAGAGTCCATAGTCTCTCATGGTTCGTCTCCCCCTCCAATTTCCCCCCCTTCATTTTTCCCTTCCTACTATCTTCTTCTTCTTTTTTTAACATATAATGTATTATTTGTTTCAGAGGTACACTGTGATTCAACAGTCTTACACGATTCACATACCCTCCCCAGTGTCTATCACCCAGCCACCCCATCCCTCCCACCCCACCCCCCACTCCAGCAACCCTCAGTTTGTTTCCTGAGATTAAGAATTCCTCATATCAGTGAGATCATATGATACATGTCTTTCTCTGATTGACTTATTTCGCTTAGCATTAGCAAATGGTAGCAACTAACATTTGCCAAGTGTGTTTTTTGGGGTTGCTTTTCCTAGTTACTTATCTCCATTTCATTCTTACTTACTCCCTTATTAGGTAATTACTATTATTGCTGTTTTTCAGGAAAGGAAAAACTGAGAATAACAACTCCTCTGTCACTGGGAAACTCATGGCAGATTAACTTTTCAGGTGGAGGAAGTCTATGGTTTACTTTCCAGTTCTATTTGTCTTGTGTTTCCTCCAAAAAACATAGTTTTATGTTAGATTTTGTGTTTCGGTTTTTAAAAAAATTTCTTTAAGTGTCTTATGTTTTTAAACAGGTAATACCCACTAAATTTCTTTCATTTATTTATTCATTTATCCCATCAGCAAGCATTGACTCAACACCGGGGGGTGTCAGGCATTCCATGCATGCTTAGAAGACAAGGACACAAAATACCGTTGCTGCCCAAAAGGAGTTCACATTTGAGAGCTACAGAGTCCCGGATGGACAATGAAAATATCAGTCATAATTTCTCTAACAGAATAATGCCCATGCAGGGTTGTCAGAAGGTATAGAGTGGACATGACACTTCGGCCTGGGTGGATTAGGGAATGCTATTAGAGAAGGTGACGTGTGGTTGGAATCTTCAAGGTGGGGTGGATAGGAACTCCCCTGGTTGCTAGGGCAGGGGCAGGACACGGCCAAGAAATGATGATTGAGAGTAAAGGGATTTGGGGGAAGAACAAGGGTGAAAGACAGAGTAGACAAGTGGGGACTCTGAGCCTTGCGTAGGCCTCTGTGATCGCTAGGGGACCGGCATATACAACATATACTTTAATCTGTAGCTGTGGGGTTTGATGGGGTGGCTTGCAGCCAGGTCCGTGTAAGTCAGGGTCATGTCCAGGCTGCAGGCATTATCAGTGAAGTGGTGAGAACGTGGTGGAGGGGGCGTTGTGGGGCTGTGGGAGGTGGAGCAGTGGAACTAGTATAAGATGGAAGCACAGGGTTGTTTGTGGAAAGTTGTGGCTTCTGTGAGCACAGGGCTGATGAGCGCAGCAAGAGCCTAGAGTGGAAGCCAGGTTCGTGCATGTGTTCTGTGTGACCCTGCAGTTGGGGGCGGCTTCATGACAGGGTCCCAATAATGAAGGTGGGGAACATTTTTATCCACCCAGATTTGACGTTTCACAGCTTATGTTTTTCCTTGTGATTATTCATGTGCCTCTCTAGTTGTGCTCATTTCATTTGAAGGAAGCATTGGAAACATTAGACTCTGGTTTCCTTTTTCTTTTAAACTAATGATCTGCAGCTATGGTGGTGGTTTATTTAATTTTTTTTTTACTATTGGGAGTCTGTTGTTGATTCCATTAAGGTCAGAAGGAGAATCCCTCTAAAGCATTTTTACCTCTTGGTTTTTTTTTTCTTTTTACATTCCCATGAAGTAGGTTATCTCAATGATAATGCTTTATGTTTTCCATAGGAGGCACATTTCTATTGAGAAATAATATTAATACTATTTTCCAGGATGCTGATTTTGAAAGATACTTCAGCTATTGTGGTTGTAATTCAACAGCTGAAAACTTATTTGTAAACTTTCCTGCATTCTGTTTATCTCTCCAAAAGGTGTTAAGAAGAATGCTGAACTATCAGGGTCTCGATCGAGTGAAAATCATAGCGAGTGACAATCTCTGGGAGCCCATTTCTGCTTCTATGTTGCTCGACTCTGAGCTCTTGGAGGTGATTGATGTTATAGGGTAAGGAAAGTTTTGCTTTGAAAGCTTAACAGTTTCTGATTGCTAGCTTTTGAAACTTGATTGTACCTTTGTTTTTGCTTTTCCTTCCGACTTGATTACATTTTCAGAGGGAGCTTTCTTGTATTTACTTAACTGAAGCACATGTAACTGATGTTTCATTCCTTTCTCTTTGAAATGTATGTGCAGGTGACCCTTGAATAGCACAGGTATGAACTGAGCCAGTCCACTCATGTGTGGAATTTTTATGATACTTTAAATGTATTTTCTCTTCCTTGTGATTTTCTTAATAACATTTTCTTTTCTTTAGCTTCCTTTATTATAAGAATACAGTATATAATACATAGAACATACAAAATATGTGTTAATCTACTGTTTATGTTATTGGTCTTCTGGTCAACAGGCTATTAGTAGTTAAGTTTTTGGGGAGTCCAAGCTTATATTTGGATTTTCAGATGCACATGGTTGGGGGGGTTGGCACATTGTTCAAGGTTCAGCTGAACTTTGGGTCTTTCTATGACAATGAAATATATTGGTACTTTTCAAAAACTGTGTTAATGTTTGGAGTAATGACACATGGCTTTGTTTCAATTAAGGGACAGAGTAGTATTTAAATTTTAGAAATTACAAGAGGCAGACTTCCTGTGGTTGGGAGTTCTTCCATGAATGAACGCTTATGTAAATAGCACGGCTGATTACTGACCATGGCTCTTGTCATGTTTCCTTAGCAGGCTGGCTTTGACCCTGCTCTTTAGTCCAACTCTGCCAGTCAGTCCTCTGGGCCTTGGCCTTCTTGAGTTCCAGTAATTTTTTTTTTCTTTTTAAATTTTTTCCAGTTTTATTGAGAAATAACTGATATCCATCTCAGTATAAGTTTAAGGTATATGGCATGATGATTTGATTTACATATATGTGAGATAATTACCATGATTAGTTAACATCCACCATCTCCTATAGATACAGTCAGAAGGAAAAATAGTTTCTCCTTATGATGAGAGCTCTTAGGATCTACTTACTTAACAACTTTACTAACACACAGTGTTAATTATAGTCATTGTGGTGTACATTACATCCCTAGTACTTATTTATCTTATAACTGAAATTTTGTGCCTTTTGACCACCTTCCCCCAATTCCCCCTTCTTCTACCCCTCACCTAGCAGTATTTTTTAAAGTGAATTTGAAGTTTGTCTATTGTGATAACATATACAAACATTTGAAAAATAGAATACACATATATGTGGAATGTGTTCTTTATTCAGTGTGAAGACTACTTGATCTACATGTGCCTTTTTCTTTTAAATGAAGCATCTTGAATATACACGAAGTAGGCAGAATAATATCATGACTATCCATGTTCCTGTCACTCAGCCTTGATAACTATGACCCCATGGCCAGTTCTCTATCCACATACTTGTCCATTCTGTTACCTGAAACTGGGTTCGCCTCTTGGTGCATGTGGAGCCAAAAGACACAACGAAGCCAAAGAATAAGAAAAGGAAGGGTTTTACTTGCAATAAGCAAAGGAGAACAACGGGAATGTTTCCCAAAGCAGGGTCTCCTCGAACAATGAACTGGGGAAATTTTAGGCGAAGGGGCTTGCGCAGTGGGGCATTCAGCGTGGAACAGGGGCAGAAATCATCTTTTTTTTTTTTTTTTAATTTTATTTATTTATTTGACAGAGAGAGAGACAGCGAGAGAGGGAACACAAGCAGGGGGAGTGGGAGAGGGAGAAGCAGGCTCCCTGCTTAGCAGGGAGCCTGATGTGGGGATCGATCCTAGGACCCCGGGATCATGACCTGAGCTGAAGGCAGATGCTTAACGACTGAGCCACCCAGGTGCCCCGGGGCAGAAATCATCTTAAAGTGACAGAGTCTAAGTCATGAGGGTCAGCATCATCAGTTCCTGGTATCTGAGTGCTCAAAACGGTTCAGATCCTGCAAAGATAGCTCAAGAATGTGCGTCAGGTCAGTCTTTATTTTTGAACCAGCACTGGAAGATTTACCACTGATTTGTTGTCCCTGATAATGATTAGGTTATCTCCTGGCTTGACAGTGGCTGTTTGTGCTTACATTTTTTGGTTCCCTTAAAATTGTTATCTACTGGGATCTACTGTTCTGCAATTTCAACATATCTCAGGAAGTTCTGCAAGAAATGTGCTTTGGGCAAGTAGTGCCAGTCAGGCAGAGATGGTAAGATGGCTGGGGGCCCAAGATGACTTTTCTCATGTCAGGAAAGCTTGTCTTTTCTTTCTTTTTCCAGGGACCCCTAGCTCTTTCTGCTGATAGTTTCTCTTCCTCCTTCCACATTATTCTGAGGCAGATTCCATACATGACGTTATTTCTTCCATAAAAATTTTACCATGCATCTTTAAAGATAAGAATTCTTTTTCTTGGGGCACTTGGGTGGCTCAGCTGGTTAAGCAACTGCCTTCAGCTCGGGTCGTGATCCTGGAGTCCTGGGATCGAGTCCCATATCAGGCTCCCTGCTCAGTGGGGGGTCTGCTTCTCCCTCTGACCCTCTTCCCTCTTGTGCTGTCTCTCATTCTCTCTTTCTCAAATAAATAAATAAAATCTTTAAAAAAAAAGAATTCTTTTTATTGTAAACAATACCATTACTACATCTAAAAATGTAAATATTATCAAATATTTGTTATTGTTATTTTATAGTTTTAATTGAATCTGGATCCAGTTGAAATTCATACATTGTGATTGATATTTAAGTCTCTTCTGATTCCTGCCCCATCTTTTTTTTTTTTTTTTAAGATTTTATTTATTTATTCGATAGATTGAGAGAGTACGAGCAGGGGGAGTGGCAGGCAGAGGGAGAGGGAGAAGCACAGGGAGCCCAATGTGGGGCTCAATCCCAGGGCCCTGGGATCATGACCTGAGCTGAAGGTAGACGCTTAACCAACTGAGGCACCCAGGTGCCCCGCTGCCCCATCTTTTTATTCCCTTTCATTTGTCAAAGACACTGGATTGTTTGTCCTGTAAAGTGTCTCACAGTCTAGGATTTTATAGTTTCATCCTTGCAGTTTGGTTTAACCTGCCCATCTGTCCTGTTTCTTGTTGGAAATTGACAGAGACATGATTAGGTTAGATTTAGGCTTCTATTTATTTATTTATTTATTTATTTTTGGCAAGAAAAGTAAGATGTATTTAAATACTTCATACATTGAAATTAGAATATAATTTTTTGCCTTTATTGTTAAAACTTTCATAAATAGCTCAAGTCTTGGGGGAAAACAAAGTTGTATTGATTTTGAATATATTTGGCCAGGAAAAAATATTTAAATGAAGGTATGGGTTTTGCTGTGTCTTCATGAAGAAGTTGGATATTAATTCATTGTATCTTTTTTTTTTTTAAGATTTTATTTATTTATTTGACAGAGAGAGACACAGCGAGAGAGGGAACACAAGCAGGGGGAGTGGGAGAGGGAGAAGCAGGCTTCCTGCCAAGCAGGGAGCCCGATGCGGGGCTCGATCCCAGGACCCTGGGACCATGACCTGAGCCGAAGGCAGACGCTTAACGACTGAGCCACCCGGGCGCCCTGGATTCATTGTATCTTTATTCATGTGGGCATCTAATGCTGCAAATACTCCTTTGAGCACTGCTTTAGCTCTTTTATTTTCTCATTTCATCGCACTGTGGTCATTTAATGTCGAATGTATTTAAAAATTTTTTTTCAAAAACTTTACCAGGAGTTTCTTTTTGTCTTATTATATTAGGATGTATTTTTCTATCAGGATATAAGGGTTGAGTGTGTATTATCTACCTTAGTGATTGCATCGTTCAGGTGTTCTGTATCCTAATTACTTTGTTCACTTGAACTATCTAGGGTTACCCAGAGTGCTAGTTTCCTCTCACTAGTGGGTTTCAGTTTCATGCAGTTTATGCTTTCGTATGTTGCTCTGTGTTATGTCGCAGGTATTAATGTCTTATCTTCTTATCTTTGTAACTGTTGACATTAGAAAATGTCATTCTTTGGGGTGCCTGGCTGGCTCAGGAGGAAGAACATGTGACTCTTGATCTTGGGGTCATGAGTTTGAGCCCCACGTTGGGTGTAGAGATGACAAAAATCCGCGAAAAAAAAGAAGGAAAATGTCATTCGTTGCCTCTTTGTGCTTCTTGGTATGAATTTTGCTTTGCCTGTGACTAAGAAGGAGATCTCTGCTTTCTTTTCATTTATAATTGCCTGAACTATCTTTGCCCATACTTTCATTCTTTACCTCCTGAGGTCATTTTGTTTTGTGTGTGTTGCTTGCATAAAGCATAGATTTAGATACTGCTTTTTTAGCTGCTCTAAAAATCTTCATATTTTAATGCTTGGTTTAAACTCATTTATACTTAATGATATAATTGAAACCATATATACTTAATGATATAATGATATACTCTATTCTATATTGTCTTGTTATTTAATTATATACACTATGTATATACCAATACAAAATCTTGCTATGTGATTTTTCTTTGCTCTTTTTGAAGGAGGTATCTTTTTTGTTATTTAGCAAGGTTTGATTTTTGGTTCTATTGATTGCATTTATACTGATACCTTTATACCAGTGGTTCTCAGCTGGGGATAATGTGCCTCCCAGGGAACATTTGGTAATGCCTGGAAATATTTGCGATTGGTACTGGCATGATGAGTGGAGGCCAGAGATGTTTCTAAATATCCTTCCAAGCACAGGATAACTTCCCCACAGCAAAGAATTATCTGGCCAAAATGTCAATAGTGTTGAAGTTGAGAAAATGTTTATACTAATACTCTTAGTTCCTTTTCTATTGGTTTACTATAAGCAGTGCAAAACTTATTTCATTACTCCCTCTTTCTCTCCTTCTCGCTCCTACAATGGAATTTAAATTACCGAAATTTCTTAATCTTTGTACTCTTACATGAGCTTAAGCTTCTACTGTCTTGATTTGTCAGTTGCAAGCTGTAACCTTTAACTCCCAGACAGTTGGCAAACTTTGTTTACATTTCATTTTCTTTCCTCCTCCTCCT